TTTTTTTTTTTTTTGTTTTCCTTGATACTTTTTTCAAATCTGGGGTTTTTATAACTGAAGGAGAATTCAAATAAATCAGCAACCAGAGAAAATGCCAAACAACCACAGTCAAACTTTCCCAGTATTTTAAATTAATAGACCTCCTTCTCAAGATGTTATGCCTAACAGGATTTGATTGTGCTTTCTCAGCCAGAGAATTTCTGTCAGTACCTCTGCCAAATGCACGGTCTCATGGAGGGAGGATTTGATAGAGATCCAGGTTAAGTCAGCCTCTTCATTCAGAGACAGTGACTGCCAGCCCCACACAGGCTGCAGTGAGGCCACCCAAATGTTGAGTTTCCACTGAGGAAGGCCAAGTTCCCCACACTCGTTTTTTATTTTTGCAACCGTAGCAGGGCTGTGTCCTTGGGTTCTTTCCATGCCAAATAAAGCGTCTGCACATTTTGTCTAGTTCATTGTTGTACTGTTGAGGCATTTTATACCAGGAACACCTGCAAAACTAGAGGTCTGAAGAAACAGATTCATTTCTGACAGGTTAATCAACTCGAGGGTAAGAAATTATCGTGCTAGATCTGTAAACACATTTGCAGCTTGCCTTGCAAGGGCAGCTTGTGAAGATTAAACTGGCTGGGAATATTCTGAGCCCTAGGCACAGAGCACTCTGTGAGACATGGCTAACATAAAATGCTCCAAGGCGGAACCTGCCATCCAGCACAACCACGTAAATCTGGAGTAACACAGGTTGCTTCGAGGATGTTACTTCATATCCACTTCACCCAACAGAAGGACAGAATTTGAATGAATTACCCATGAACAGGGAATAAAGGACATGTCCAGTAAATAATACATTTCTGGGTTTTCTGCCCTTCATGACTCTCTCTCATAAATGTTTCAGCCTCAGTCTGATTGCTGATTCACTGTGTCAGCCAAAAAACCAAACTGAGCAGGTGCATTTTGGAGTCGTTCACATCTGAGGCTGTTAAGGCTCAGGGTGAGGCAGACACACAGGAAAAAACCCTGATTTCTAAGAGTGTGACATTGTCCTCTCCAGAGCCATAACTGAAATGCCCCAACACACATTCTGTGACTGCTCTCGGTCAGATATGGCTCCCATTTTGTTTATTTTTTTATCTCTTTCTGAACTGAAAAATAGGTAAGAGAAGCAATTTTAAATTCATAAAAATTAGTTTGGTCCCAGAGTGTCAATTGAAGCATTTTGGCATTTATGGAATGATTCATTTCACTCTGAAGAAGTCAATATGAAGTTTCACAGTATTTCTCACCCTGCGCAGTGCTGCCACACAGGCTGGCACTTGACAACAACTTGTGAGTAGTTTTGGTTCCTCCAAAACTTAATTTTTCAGGGGATGTTCATTCAGTGAGTAATGAGTCAAATTTGTCCAACATTACTGTTGGATCCTTTCTATTCACTTACTTTATTCAGCAGCTGCACAATCTCTATAACAATACCTTCCAGAGGTGAGATACCTGATTAGAACCAGCCTCTGTTCCCATAACTTGCTGCATGAGGTCAGGTTGTTGTCCCCATGATTGGATGCAACCGGACACACCCCTACTGTGTTACAGATGCTCTTGGTGCTCCTGACCAGTAGTCCAACACTAACTTGGGAGCAAAATGCCTTAGTGAGATTTGAAGAGCTACATACACGACTGGAGACACAAAGACTGTTAAGAAACATCCTTTTCAGAAAATCTGAAACTACTCAGTTTTAATTTCAACTTTCTTGCTGAGCTGACCATCGTATTTTAAGCCTGTCAAATGTGTTTTATCAATGTGAAATACTGTTTATTTTTGCTCATTTTTGCACTTTCCAGATCTTTACTGAGCAGACTTTTTCCGGCATTTTGCCCCCGATGTAGCTTACTGTAATTCATTGCTCATGACTGCCAAGAAATGACAATTCCAAAATACAGTCATTTTGCTCCTAGAAATTCCATCATTTTTTCATTATAGCCAGCCCAGCAGAAAGCAACCAGAAAACTAAGCAAAATGAGCCTCTTAAATAGGGCAAAGATGAAACCTCAGTTATAGATTTGTGCATAATTCTGACATGTCCAGCCACAAAAGAGTAATCTTAGTCTCAGTAGAACAAATGACCTGCACATTCTCACTGTCTGAGAAATTACTTCCTCCATCTTGTCCATTCTGCTGTTATTTGCTCTCCTGTGTTCTCCATTAGGACTGTCTTTCCATTGCCAAAACCAAGAAAAAAAGGATACAGCTCTCCTATGTTCTTGCTGGATGTAGACTTTGTCCTCGTGTAGGGGTTTTATTCACTTTACTATTTATTTTGCAGGAATGTTTTAAACATTTTTAATAATAGAATTACACTGATGAGACCTAGTAAAGGAGCAGGTATAAATTACTCCTGCCCTTTTTGCAGCTTAATATTCCCTCAATTCAGAGGGAGAAATTGCCGGCCTGGCAGAACTAGATCCACAAAAGGTGGGGGGTTTTAATGGTACTGGCACAGCTGGAATGATCTGGCTAATGGGTGCAGACAAAAAACAATAGTTTTTTGTTGTCAAGGGTCAAAATGGGAATTATCTGGAGGGACAGCATTCCATGACCTGCAATACATTTCCAATGTTCATCGGTATTCCTATTGGGAAGCAGAAAATTAGGGGCTATACCTGTCATCTACAGAGTCACCTTGAAACCCCATAATGAAATATCGATAACGGAGGATAGCTTTTTGCTAAAAAGATTACTGACAGGCATAAAATAACAATCACCAGTAGCAATAAATGCATTTTATGTCTTGGGTATTTTCCTGGCAGACAATAGTCTTTCATTGAGTTAGGCATTAGCAGCCCTGGATTTGGATAACTTGTGTTCAGAAGAACAGTAGAATGTTTTTTGAGGTACTGGAAGAAAAAAAGTGGAGCTTATTTTTTTAAATCAGTGTACCATAATTCTCCTTGGTTAGCACAACAGCATAATTCCCTCCACAAATGGAGTGGTCCATTTCAGTTTATTCTTTTTGCAATATGCTGTATTTAAAGAGGAAGGAGATGAGATAACTCTTCCTGGAGAAAATCCAGAATATTAATTAAAGAAATGGCATTTTGGCATTCATTCCTTACTTGCTGGAGTTCATGCCCATACTGGTATTTCATGTCTTGCTTTCATGTTAAGAGCTTTCCAAGATGACCTTCTCTGCAAATGTCTTTTTTTTTCTGCCTCTAGAGTTCCTAAAAACAAAAAGAGACACAACATACCCACTTATTTGGCACTAGAACAGTCACACAAGGTGGACCTGAGTGTCAGGTCAGCAAAACCCCCAGTGGGTGGGTGACAGCATGAGTAAGTGCTAGACAGACTGGAGGAATGGCATCAGATTTGGACCCAAAAGATTAGAAGTCATATTCCTATACCTTGGCACATTGGATGTAAAGCCAGAGTGCTTGAAAAACATTGAGTTTCTCAAATTCATGAGGTCAGTTTAGGATTTGGAGTCTTTCAGATAGCTTATCCATATACACCTTTTTTTTTAAGGCTTCTTGATTTTTGGTTCACGTTTTCATGTTTTTCACTCTACTACATTAACTAATTCAAAGTAAACATGAAGGATGTTTGAAAGTGGACACTCTTATGTAAGCTGTTTATGCCAATAGCTGTGACTTTAATACTGAAAACAAAATAAATGGCAGCCTAATTTTATAGTCACAGCTGAAAGATCCTATTCATACAGACTACTTTAACACTGAGACTCTCATAAATAAGAAATGACTCTTGAACAGTAGTTCAAGATCCTTGTTCCATTTACATTGTCATCAATCACCCTCCAATCACGAAGATGACAATAAAGTCAGTTGTCATTTTTACTCTGTAACTAATAAATTCCAAAATGTCTTTTAATGAGCCCTGGTTCTCCTTTACCACGGACAAGTGTGAATCACCCCTTTACACAATGTGAACAGCTTCTGCCCCACCTGTCACCCCTGTGACCTTCTCCACCCATCCAGCTCTTTGGCAATTCCCTGCCCTCCATGGAGTGCACTGCTTCAGCCTCCCAAGCTCCTGTCAGGTGGGATGTTCTCTCTTTATTCCCTTCCTACCCAAGCCCGTACAGGACTGGCCACTCCAAATACCCGCTTCCTTCCTTCGCTCCACGCAGAGAAACGAGCGCTACTTTTTTGACTTTTCCGTGGCTCCTTCCTCTCCTCACTCGGAATCAATGGATCGTTCCGACCGCCTACCCTGACCTTCCTCACCCTGATCCCGATCTGCACCCCCCCGATCCCTCCTTCACATCCCGCGAGTCCCCACCGGCCCCGCCGCGTCCCGGGAGGAGAGCTCCGTCGTCCCCACCCCGCGTCCCGGCAGGAGCCGCCGCTGCCCTTCCCCCCGTGCCGGCTCCCGCCGCTTTCCCGCCGCTATGTCGGTGTTCCACGACGAGGTGGAGATCGAGGACTTCGCGTACGAGGAAGAGACCGGGACCTACAGGTGCCCCTGCGGGGTCCGAATCCTCATCACGCGGGTGAGGGGCGGCCGGGCGGGACCGGGAGGCGGGAGCGGCCTCAGGCTGCGGGTGCGCCCGTGGCCCGTTCTGTGGCCGCTTTTCGGGGCTTTTGCAGGAGGACCTGGAATGCGGGGAGGACGTGGCCACCTGTTCCAGCCGCACCATCTGAGTTCGACCCAAAAGGTGATCTCTGCTTCCCATCCAGAGTGTTTTTCACGTGTTCCTGCCACTTCCTGGAGGATTGGGAGGTAGGCTTCCCTTACACTTGTGCGCGCAGGTGATTTGTCCCGTCACCCAAGTTAGGGCAGGGAGGGCTGAGGTGTGGAAGAAGCCTATGAGGGTGCGTGGATCTATCTGACCAGTGAAATGCTGGGGGGCACCACGAGTGAATCAAATGCCAAGATATAAACAGCAGGACCGCTGCCTCCAGCCGAAACAGCTTCGAGGGATCAGTCCTGGGCCCTTTTCCCTAGCCTTCTGCTTTGTCCTTTCCCCTCCAGAGATTGCTTTTGTAGATGAGAAGAGATGAAAATCACCCCAGGTGCCAAGTAGAGCAAAGAGAGAGCAAATGGCCCGAATGCATGGTTATTTAGAGAAAACCATTTCCTGCCAGGCATATCATTATGAACCAGTACTTGCAGCATAAACCTGAGACTGTTGCTATTGGGTTGTTGGGTTGTTCTACAGTGCTGTAAAAAGAAATTGGGAATTGAAATTGAATTCAGCCTTTCCCATTTGCCACTTTATTCTTTCCCTCTTAAAAATCAAATATTGATTTTCCTCATTCTGCTCAGTTAACAGTCTTTGCTAGTTTGTAATTGTTATAAACACGTTCGCTAGAGCTGTCAAAGCAAATTCCAGCAAAAAAATTTTTTATTGAAATTTTCCAGCTTGTTGAAAGCAAGACATCCCAGAGGAAAAGGTTCTTTCTTGTGATGGGTCACAAGGAAGCCGAGCCCAGCACCTTGTTGTAAGCAGCCTGGCCTGGGAACCTCTCTCATCACTGTCTGTGTGACATTCCAGCTCTGTTTCAGAAAGCAAAGGAAATGGTGGGTCTTGTTCCACACTGAAACCAAACTTGGAAACCTTGGTAATTCCACAAAATGGAATCACCACTATCTGCCAAGCCTGAGCGTTATGTTATGTGTAATCTTGAATGAAACTGTACGAAATTGTGTATTTTTGAGAAAAGACAGACATCTTCTTGTAATCAGCAAATTATAGTCTTGTGGTTCTTATTTTGCTTATCAAGTTATTTTCCAGTGTCAAGACCTATTTTGTTTCACCCGTCCCTCTCCATGCTGATTTAAGAGTTGTTCTTGGCACTAGAGAATCCTTAGAGTTCTGTCACAGGCTACACTCAGAAGCAGCAGCTGGAGCTGAAATCATTCATTGTTTATGTAAAACTAGAAGTTACTTCCTTAATATCAGCACCAGGCTCTGTTCCTGGGCTAGTACGTGTGCATATTTACACAGACACCACACACTGACCACAATTTGTTACTCTAGGAAATTAATGTTCCCTTTGCTTCTGCAAATAAAGGAATCAACAGCACATTGCCCTGAAGAAGCGGCTCTTGCCTCTGTCTGGGAGCTTGCTAGCGCAGCTGGTGATCCATCAGCTGAACTGCATGAGCTCAGGAAGCATGGATGCTCAATCAGACTTAAGTGGCCTTCCAAGCTGTATGGTTTGGTGACTGATTTGCAAGTGAAGGCAGCTCCTGGCCTCACAGATGATGAGTTTTCAATGGGTATGACACATACACAAACTAGATAAGACAACAGAAAGGCAGGGGTTTAGATGGACAACTTGTCCAATGACAGATTTACTGCAAGGCTTATTTTTTAATTGACATGATGAATTTTATGCATCTACCTGCTTGAAATACTCTGATTATGAAACTCTCTGTTCACTGCTTGGCTCTCGAATTCTAAGCGGGCAAAGTGTGTGCTAACAAGAGGGAAAGAAAGAGAAGATGACAGAATGCAATGACCTGTTGTCTCTGTAGGACTGGTTTGCATTAAACATTTTGGTTTGACTACAGCTTTTGATCGCTTTTGGTTTGTTCAGTAATCCCAAACTGTATGTATAAAGAGTGATTGACAGAAATAGCCTCCCAGTGGCTCGTACTCAGGTGTAAATATCTGATGCTCTCAATCTTGAGAGATGAACTCCTGATAGTCAGAGTAACAGTTGATTTTCTTTCAGCGCTGAGATTAAATTTTTTATGTAATTATTACATTAAATGATGAAAAAGAGACTGTAAAAAAACCCCAGTTTTCACCTAGTAGCATATTAAATTAAGAAAAAATACAGTGAAAAATATAATACTAAAGGATGTAATCCTCTGAAGCTCATTTATGCCTGTAATAATACAAGTGACATTATTAGATTATTTGTTGTCAGTCTGTAAGACTGAGGGATTAATAAATGTGGGAGCAATTTTTTGAATAATTGCACAAAATAGATTAGGTATTTAAAAATATATTTAGTATTTTTATATAATGGATATTTTTTTAAAAAATTGATTACTTTCACCATTTTCTCAATATGTAATATGAAATTATCACTGGTGTAAATAAATATCATGATAGTATTACCAAAGGTCATAGACTTCAACAGAGGTCATTGTGCAGCTACTTAGAAACTGAATATTGTATTGGGCCCTTAGGCTGGTCTGTCTGTAAGTTAGGTTCAAGCTAAAAAGAACTTGCTAACAATCCTGGTACCTGTATCTGTTCTGTGTCATGAATATTCTGCTGTAGCTTTCCAGCCTACTCAGCAGAAAGAGACAGAAGATTTATTGTTAATGTTAGAGTTAACATCTTCAAAATATCTTAGGGATTTTTCTGAAAATTTAAATTCTTATGCCTTTGGGACCAGATCATGCTGGTAACACAGCATCCTACACAATGGGGTCTCTCAGGCTGTGAGCAAAGCAGCTGTCTTGAAAAAGTGTGCTGTCGGATTAAACTCATTTGAGGAAACTGCAGATGGTAGCAAGTTTGTTCTTGGCTGTCATCTTTGTGCCTAAAGCCAGATTTCTGGGGGATTGGAAGGGCTGGGCACTGAGGTTGGGTTCTTGGAAGGGATTTTAGCCTGGGTACCCTTCAGATGATGTTCCTTCCACCTAACTCCAGTTTAAAATTTATACGTGCCATCTGAATTAATCATCAAGACTCCCTCCCTAATCAGTAGAGAAAGCAAGCACTTCTAGGTAGTGATTCACCCATCTTGTTTGATTATTTGGTTACCTCTGGAAGTGTTCTCTGCTGAGCAGTAGAAGAAGCTTAGACAACTACCTTAGTTCTGTCTACTGTTTAGGTGGCCCCAGTTAGAAGAGGTGAATCCCGTTCCATGTGTCTAAAGAATAATAATCCCCAAGAGGGATAGCTAGTTTACCAAAACAAACAACAAAAAAAAAGAAGCTAGAAAGACAGCAAAAATACTATGCCTGCCATGTCAAGTCATGTAGGCAGATTGTTTTTCTAGAATATCCTTCCAAGCCACCTGGTGAATAAGCAGCTGTGAGCTGCCTGAAGTGTGTGCCAGAGATCACGTTTTCCAGAGACTCTCCTTTCCAGGAATTCTACTTCTGTAGTCCCTATTCAGACCTTTCCAATGAAACCAATAGAAATTATGGCAAAGGTCTACAAAATCAAGCCCCCTATAAGATGTCAGTGGAGGCAGAGTCCTACTGTACATTTCTGTAAGACTGTTAGGTGATGGCTAAATGGGAATATTGCCACTGGAGGCTTTCCGACTGGGTTCTTTGCAGACCAGCTGTGCTGCAGCATGAAGAAAATGAGGCATTAACAAATCATCACACAATGAAGAAAATAAAAATACATTTCACTGTGCACTGATATACTTTATTCAGGGCTGACGTGCAGTTTGCATAGCTTAAAAACACGAGCTTAAAAACATGTGACCAATGTTTGCAAAACACTCCAATACGCTTGCAATTTGAATCAAACTGATGGAGATAAAATGAGATACAAAGTCAGAATCTGAAAGCTCTCTCTCACGTGTCACCTTCCAGCTGTTATGGAAACCTAGGCTGTTACTGTTCTTGTCTCAGGTGCCTGAGCATACATAGCTCCATTCCTTCCTGAGGAAATCTGTAATGGAAGCTATTGCGTTTTAATCAGCAGACAGTATTACAGCTCAATCAGCGTCTCTAAGGGAGGACCTGGAGGCACTTACACGTGGACTGAGAGATACCCTGAACATTTCTGTGCTGCAGGATTTATCATGAAGGTTGCTCTAACCTTCCTTCCCCCTGTTTAAACTTCAGGTTAACACAGAGAGAAAAATGCCATTCTGTTTCTCTGCGCCAATGATGGCACCCACCTCACCTACCAGGACAAACCCCAACCATCAGCCAGCACTGACTGCATCAACTGGTTCTTGGTTTAAAAGTACATTTAATAATACTTCAAGTCTTTATTTTCTTCCATTTGTCATTAGCTGGGAGAGGAATAAACCAGGCTGTTTAGTTAAAGTGTTGTCAACCAAAAGGTGACCTGTTCTTGAATCTGACCTTTTAGCTCAGCTTCACGGGCGGGTTTGGCTCAAAGCATTCATTATGCCTGGATTGCCAAATTCAAGGAAACAGGTGGAGTTAGACTATAAGATGTTTATTTGTGTTTTGCTGGAATTCCTTTGTTCTTGCCCAAGGCTATACTTTGGAGGCCTTCAAAGTTTAAACTGCTTCGTTCTTGCATGAAACATTCTGTTCTTATGTTTCTCTCCTGTCAGTGGGAATTAGCAGAACCTGGAATGTTGACCCTGTCTAAATACAGAGCTGAAAGTAATCCCATGTTTTGTGATGCTGAAAGCATCACTATTGCATGAAAGATGGACAATAATGAGGAAAACACACCAGCACCCTTAGCAGAGACTCTTTGTTGAGCCCACTCCCATGAGGAGAAGGTTTCAGCAGATGGATCCAACCATGGTGGCAGGGTGTAAATGACCACAATGAGGAAATAGTATTGGTACAACCAACCAATGCATTTAAAAGGTATAAAGGAAGGAAACTAGGAAAAAAAGGGATAAATGCTTTCCCTTTGGGACTTTTTTCTGTGTAATAATGAGTTGTGTTTATATTAGAGGGAAGTGTGCTCCATGGTATGGTACACAATCTGTGTACCCTGGATGTCTCTGTTCAGGGACCTCCTAGACCACCTTGTAGCTCTCTTCTGGCCTGTGCTCTGGAGTTTAGTTCCCTTGGAAACCACACATTCACTCTATTACTAAACAGAAGAAGTATTTTAACAATTATTTTCTAAATGGTACTGAACCATATATTTTCATTTTATTGTTGGAAGAGGTATTAGGTAATGTATTTTTCTATTGTACGTATATCTACAGCAAACCTTATTTTCTATATTTTTATCATTATGTTAAAAAGTAATATAAGATGAAGATGTCCATGTCTCTGAAATTTAATTCCAAACATCTCCTTTCTAACCCAAAAATCTTTTCATTCTTCTTTGCAATACATCCCACTTCTGTTCAATTACCGTATTTATATACATATTTTTTTAACATTAGATGCTGAAGGAATGATATTCCTAGTGTAGTGTCCAAAATAAAATAAATAAAACATAATTTAAAATCTGGAATACTTATAATTTTAAATAAAGGAATCATGTGTCAATAAAACAGCATTTTACTCAGCTTTTATGCAATTTAAAAAATTCTCTTTTCTCACCCTAAATTTGGGCAATGGTCAGGGATCACTTGGTGTTCTGGAAGAAGTTGCTACCATCTTCTCAGCTGAAAGTTGAAGCATTTTCAAGAATGTCACAGGAAATTTTAAGCAACACTGCAGAAATAGTATTAGATTCTAATGCTATCAAAGAAAGCAGGAGTAATAACCAGGATGACTGAAGTGATGCCTGAATATAGTGTGGAATTTGTAGCCCTTGAAGTAGACAGGGAACTACATACTAGGAAAAATTTTGGACAACACTCCAAACGTGATTTTTGTGTCTTCTGTTGTAACCAATTTCATATGCTCAATACCAGTTTATTATGATTTACCAAGAGCAGGTGACTGGAAGGCTCTGAGCAGAATATTCTGTTATTCCTTCCTTTCTCAAACAATGTGCTGTACATTAAAAAAAACACCCCACAATTTTTTCTCTTGAAAAAAATCTCAAAACCTAACTAAATTTCATTAATGATGCCCTCCCCCTTTAATAAATACATAGGATCATGACTGATTTATACTATAAATTGGGTGAGATGCTGATGTGCGAAGACTCCCAAATCTTTGTTCTTCTGTCTTAGCTAGCTCTTAGGAAGTGTCATCATTATTGATTTTAACTCCAAAATTGAAAGTACCCTAACAAAATACTAAAGTAGAAGTTTGCTTGGCTACTGCATGCTGTATGAGACCATTCTTGCTACCTAACCTCAACTCTCATTCACCCCTTTGAAAGACAGCAGGTCAGCAGCAATGCAGGCTCTACAGAAGAAGTTTCTCTAGGAAATTTGGTCTTTTGAGGATCAGCCTGGAGAGCCATGACAGCAAGAATCTACAATATCTTCTTGGCTAAAACTCACAGAGTGAAAGACTTAACTCAGGCTGCAAGCAAATGGAAGCAAGCACCAGTATTTTCTTCCTGGGCAGCCACTGTTGAAACCTGTTGTTTCCCTTCACTTGCTGTTTTCAGCCAGCACTTTTGTTACTGTAATAATAATAATGATAAACTCAGCCCATGGCTTTACAAGAGCAAATGGATGCCACCAATTTTGCTTATAATTCTCTGCAAATAAGCAGAGAAGCTAAGATGTTACCCTTCTTTCTACCACAAAAGTTTCCTGAGGAGTTGTTCTTAAATGTCATTAAAACAAAACAAAAAGTTGTTAATATTTCAGTCTCATTCTCCCATCCAAAATAGATTGTGGACTAAGGATTTAAGGAAGGGTGTGCCAAACGCTGAGGACTGTTGATATTCCAAGTCGATTAGTGCCTAATTAAGTGCTAATTTATGCTCTGTGTAATCTCATAGAGGGTAGAAATTTGACTCAGGCTAGTTGGAAAACAAAGTTTTTGCTATTACATGTGGAAACATCTACTACTTTTATACATATAAAACTTACTTTTTTTTTTATATGAGTCGAGTGCACTGTTAAACAAGGCTAAACTCTTATCCTGGTTTGGCTGGCTTCCTCTTACAGTTTCAAAAGTCTCACAAGCATTAATTTTCCTGTATCCTCCCAAGTCAGCTGAAGACAAGCTGTCGGGAAGCCAATTTTCCATGTTGTTTCAAAGGGCAAACTTAACTGTCTTCTGCAATAGCAGAGTTGAGAATCTATTGGTGCTCACAGTCTCTTTATTCCCTGCTTCTCAGAATAAATAGAAATTTTAGCTAGAGCTGAATAAATCAGGAGCCAGGCTTTCAGATAAGAGACCTTCCTAACTTCCCTGCATGCTACAGCAAACACAAACATCTTTCTTGTCCATGCAGGAAATGCATCTTAAATCCCAAGCAGAAGTAATGTTAAATTTTGGAGACTTGACCTCCACAGAGACTTGTCAGTCATCTCTGATGTAGCCCATGGGAACGTTCAAATTGCCACACCTGATTTGCGTTCTTGTTACACACAGACAAAAACAAGTCCATCTCATCTTCACCCTTTGCTGCCTCCATGCATTTGCCAGAAAGGACGTGGACAATCATTCCATTCTACAAGGTGAGAGAAGAAGGGAAAGAAAGAACAAAATAAAAATAAAGGATTTCCAGTAAAAGCTAGAAAATTTTTATATACAGCAGATCACCAGTAAGGACTTGTTCAAATTTTTTTAAGTGTTATTCCAAACAGAATGAGTAGGTTTAACTTTGTGCTCAGAGCATGGTAAATATTCATAGTTCCTTTTGAAGCTGACAGGTGTGGTAGGTGCAGAATTCTTTTCCACCACTATTTGTTTCCTGTGGCTACAGATTGTTATCAGCATCAGCCTCACTACTACCGGCCACAAAATTTCACAGTGCTTCCCTTAGGAATCAAACCAAATTACAGCAGGAACTGTCCTAGAGGCTTTCTGCATCCCAACAACTACAGTAACTGCTGTTTTCCAGCTGTCCCAGAGCATGAGGTTATTCAGTCCTGTAGAGGAGTTCCTGCTGGGTGAAGTCCACTGAATAATACTCTGATATTGCTCTTCTCTTACAATGCCGGAGGAAATTTAATGTTACCCACTAAGAGCTCCTCACAAAGGGAGGGTTCAGGATTCCCAAACCCTTTCTCTATCCAAAAGAAGTCAGCAAAGATTTGTCCTGCTCTTATTTTCACAACCACTGATTCTGATTCTATCCTATAAAACAAACAGTGAAAACAAGGACATAGGAATAAAGTTAGGATTTCTGTACTGTGTATTTCTGGACCAAATGTATTTCATATAGTGTAAATGGGCAAGGGGCATCCTAAGTTTTCTGGCTGAAAATGGTACAGAAGTGAATCTTGCCCCTCAAATACCTCATCCCTTCCCCACATGAATGCTGTAAATCACCCAGTGATCCCACAGTCACCATTAGCTGCCTTTCCCTCACAGCAGAGACACTACTGACCTCCTGGACATCCCAGTGCTGGTGGCTGTTGTCTGTCTCCTTTGTACAGTTTTGAGGGATAACCTTCCCGTGTCTAACATCAAAGCAAAACAGTGGAGCAGAACCAAGCCGGATTTCCTTCATGCTGTTATATTCAAAGTGCTGGAAGAGGGAGGGTTTGTTTGAACAATGATGGACAGACATTCCAATTAATTTCTAAATGCTAATTCCAAAAAAGAATTTCCTGTACGTGTTTGTTAAGGTGCAACCCAAACATGAGTGACAGAGACCCAACAACCTTGACCCTTCAAAGCAATCCCCCCTGCTAGCTAATTCTGGCATAACTATTTACCTAAGAAAAGGCCTTGTGAACTACAATTATGTATAAAGTAAACCCATCCTGTAATAAAATTTTCTAGTTTAATATTTGAACAGAAGGGTGTTTCTGGCAGTGTCCTCACACAATGCAGTTAGAAATGTGCCTGCAGCTCACCCTGAGCTCAGTGTGAGCAGGAAAACTTGCCTGGGACTTGGAATAAATATCTGCAGTCAGTCTGTATTGGTTTGGCTTCTTTTAAAGCATGAACTTTCTAGACTAATTTCAGCTTGGGAGTCTACTGAATTTTCCTCCTGCTTTACACTGCAGTTTAGACACTGAACTTCAGTTTTAGTCACTAATGGGGGAAACCCATTCCCATTATTCTGGAACTGTTATGTATTTTTTACTCACAGGCTTTCTGTTCCCCAGACACTACCAAATATACTAAACAAATAGGCACTTAATGATGTCTGCTGAAGAAAAGTGTGTGTATCAGTGACACATGAAACATTGCCATTTTTCAAATTACTCACCTTCA